GCTCTCACTGACTGAATGAATCAGGTGGCCAGAGTGTCTGTCTGTATGAAATAGAAATGTACACATACAGTGTAAACACGTCCTCGTTGACACGAAGATAAAAGGCTTAGCATGAATTGTGTCTGTTTACACTTAACACAGAAAATTCCATTCTGACAAACACTGGAGTTTCACTAGTGTTTGCTACCATAACTGCCCCCCCCCCCCCAGTCTGATTTTCTGGTTAGTTGCAGTTTGCTGCAGGTCAAGACCCAACTTTTACTTTCCCTTCTTCTCAGAGCCCTGGGGCTGTGCCCCCAGACCTTAAAGGACCGCTGCTGTGGGAGGATTGTGTATTTGCTCTGCACCTCATTTTTTTTTCGTTGGCCTTAGTGTGTTTCTTGTGTTGTCTGTATAGGCTGCTTCTCTTGGCCAGCTAAGTCAAGAGATAGAGGTGCAGAGACGAGGAAACACAAAGCACTCACCTGACTTTTGGCGTTGTAATAGCAACAGCCCATTTTATAGGTGAGGAGAGTGAGTCTTAGAGATGGAATGTGTTCACTTGAGGATATGAACCCAAAAAGGACATTCCAAAGGACATTCTAGGGTTCAAACCCTAGTTATGGTCTTTGTCCCTTTTCAGGACCCCCATGGTGTCTTGCACCGGACAGATGCTAACCAGTGGAAGCTCACCCTTTGTGCAACTCTTCCAGGCATTTAGCTTAACCTTAGGAGGCTGTCTCACTCACATCTTTTCCATTAGCCTTTCTCTTACCACTTCTTAGGGATTTATGTTCCAAATATGCGTAGATTGTTTATGCCATTCCCTTGAGTGCTGAGAATAAAAGTTCTGCCAACTGACTTTGAGAAAATAACTGGGAGTTTTTGGAAAGAATGACTCACCTGAAACACTTCTAAGATGGTGTCTGTAGAAGTAGGTGAATTCTGGCCAGGGTGCCATGCTTCTGCCCGGTGGCCTCCTGCTTTGCTTCCCATGTCCTCGTTCCTCGGTGGGACACTGCAGCTGGGGATCACCCTCCACCCCTGCCAGCACTGTCCTTTCTCCCTTACTCCTGGCTGCCTTCATTTCCATAGGCATTTGCTACTCTTCGTAGGCCACCAGGGATCTTACATTCTGAAATCGACCCTACGTTCCGAAAGCAAGTGTTGGGGTCTGTTTGTTTAGGTCTGCCGGATACCTGTTGGCTTTGAGAGGGAGGAAGGTGTTTCATGAGTCCTGTGCTCAGCTGTGAGCCAGAGGGCGTGTCTGCCTCCCAAGCTGAGGAGTGTTTTCCCCTCTGTGCATGGGTTCTGTGACAGGCAGGCGTGCTACACTCACTTTCCTGTTTGTGGTGTGTGCCTTTTGAACTATGCTATCATTCACAGTCCAGCTTGATGATCCTCTTTTTCTGTTTCTGCCACAAAACACCCAAAGACCAGCGGTGTCAGTCAGAACCCAAAGCGGCTGGTTGCTTGGGTCCTGCCTTGTATTTTGTGGCTTGGGCTTGTCTTCTCTTCTGGAATAAGTGGGTAGTTTCTCCCTAGCTATTTTTTTCCTTTGTTCTATAAATGGGGTTAGGGGTGTAAGTAAGGAAATGACTCCTCATTCAAAGCAGCTTCCAGTCCCAGCTCTATGTGACATATGGCTTCTGTCCGCAGTGGTCTTCACTGGTCCAAGAGGCCAGCTGGCAGAAGGTAGCAGGTCCCTCATACTGTCTGCACATTGACTGCGCGTGACAGACACTTTCCTTACGTCTCTCTGCTTCTTCTCGGAGTCCTGAATTTCTGTCATCTGTTGGAAATAATAACAGATGCCCCAATATCTAATAGTTTTTAGCACATGTTTGATGTAATAACATAGTTCAGTACTCCTATACATCTAAGATCAAATTAATACACCGAATTTACAGTCATATAGAAGGGATAATATTTTTTAGGTTGGGCACAGGAAAAGTTTTTTTTTCTCATTTTGGATAAGTGACTTGGTGCCATCGTTCTCAGGGCTTTGAGTCATTGGTAAAAGTGAGGCGGAGAAATGAGAGCCGAGGCAGGAGGCGGAGAATGGTTGGGGGAACTGTTGACGCTCTTATGTCAGCACAGAGCGCTGAGGAGATGAAGTTTAGAGTGAAACCTGCTTGAGGAGAGAATGGAGCAGTGTGTGAAGGAGAAGCCCTGTCAGGCAGCAGGCTTTGGGGAGGGAAGAGCTGGGGCCCGTTGGAGGCTAGTGACAAGTGTGATAAGCAGGGTTATGCTTGAAGACGGCGTAGGAATGGGGGGGTGAACTCTTAAGGAATCCTGTTGGCCTGGTATTTGGTCAGGGGTAGACTCGGTGGAAGGGTGGGCTGGAGGGAGGTATTGCTGTCACTCAGGCTGAAGATGACAGTGATCAGATCAGAGCGACAGAGGTGAAATGACAGAGGTGGGGCACAGTTCACTTGTTTGTGCTCCATGTATGTGTCCTCTGGTGTCTGCTGTGTGGTGTGTTAGCCCCTGGAGTCCTAACTTGTGAACTAAATAGAAAAGAATTTCCCTTCCTTCTGGAGCTACCCTTGTGAGAGGACATGAGGAGACAGGCTAGAGCTAGGCTCCCAAGAAGGTGGATGTACCCTAAGTGGGAAATGAATGGGGTTGGATGTGAGCACTGAGCATCACAAAGAGGAAGGAGGGGAACTTTCTAGTAACTCACTCTGTTTTCTTCCCTGACACTGATCCATTCCCAGCCTCCATATCTTGTTGAGCGATGTTGCCACGTAACTTGCTGGTGCCAAAAAAATGAGTCTTCCCAATTCTTGTCCTTCACCTGGCACACATGCTGTCTAGTGACTTGCTCATGCCAAAAATAAGGCTTTGTTGACGTCTGGATCTGCTTCCTCATCTTTTAAGTGGAAGCTACGTGATCCCAAGCGAACTGGGGTGGGAAGTATCAATAGAAGAGCAAACACGATCTTCAGAATCTTCAGCATGTTAGTTGCGTTCAGTTTGCCTTTCTTCCATTTCTTCTGTCTTGGGGGCCTTGTTATCTCTTCAGCAAAATGAAGAGCCTAGAATCATCATGGCCCCGCACAGTTCCTCCAGTGGCGGTAATGCCTATGGAATGTCTCCTTTCTTTCTCTGCTCCACTTTTGAGTCTGTTCTGCATTAGCCCTCCACAAGGCCTTTCTTGGGCTTCTCTCCCCTGTTGGATCCTGGAGAGGGGCTCCGTTCCTCTGAGGTACTGTGCATCTTCTCCTGAGACGGGAGCCTCTCAGGCTCATTTCCTTCGGACCCTTCTTTGCTTCCATGACTTCCTGTCACTCAGCCTACCTCTGGCTTCTGTAATAGCACAGGTCGTTCAAGCACCCTGTCTTTGATGCTGCCTCCCCTTTGTCCTGTCGGAGATTAGGATAGGCTTTCCATGTGCATCCCCCTCATCTTGCCCTGCCGTGATTGGCAGTTGTTCACCGTGGGTCTTAGCTCCCAGTTTTTGCTACAGGCTTCCTTGTATCTCTCATGGAATCAAATTAATAAAATAACGTGGGTTAGGAAACTTTATGTTGTCTGAAAAGCTTTGGTAGTGGTTATTAAATGCTAAGAAAGTATAATAACCATGGCTGTTTTCCTGTGTGCATTTCAATTTTTTTTTTTAAAACAAAAAAGATTTAGGGTCTAGATCTCCAGATGCTGGAAAGATGGCTCAGTGATTAAAAACAGCTTCCACATTAGGTGATTCTGAGCACTCTGTAACTCCAGCTGTGAAGTATCTGATGCCTTCTTGTGAGGTCTCTGTGGGCACCTGCTCTCATATACACACTTGTGCATGCACACGCGCCCACGTGAGAACACACACACATGCACACGAAGTTCTAATATTGAGGCCATTTTACTGAAAAACTGTTGTAACCCACAAATGCCTGAGCTAGTTCCTCTACTTTTAGGTTGTGTCCTAAGAAAATGCTCTTGGATATTTGGAACACTGTTTTTAATGTGAAAAACTAGAGATGGCCAATTATTTTAACAATAGGGAGTCAGTTAAAAGAAGAAAGGGTTGTGTACTTACTAATAATTTGAAACTACTTTCCTGTTTTTAAATAAAAATATAGCTAATGAGGATATGTGCAGGCCAGGACGTCGTGCTGGAGTTGATTCTCTTCTTGCACAGTGAGTCCCAGGGATAGAACTAAGGGTTGCTCATCAGGTACCTCTCTCTCCCTGCTGAGCCGCCTCACAGGCACCTAATTTTTCTCTTCAAAACAGTGATGCTATCGAGAGACTGGCTTGGTTAAATGCTCGTGTGAGTTTAAGTGAAATAAGTATTTACAAATGTTACGCCTTTGTCTGATTTTTTGTCATTTGCAGAGCAAGGATGATTGGCATAGGTAGATGAACACTGTCGGTGACTGTTGAGATCACTGATGATTTTTACAGATTTTGCTGTTGCCTCACTTCTGTAAGAAACGTCTTCCTCGATTAACTCATCACGTTGTGTTAAAGTTGGAAGTGCATGCCTCTTCCTTTCATACGATCGGTTATTTCTCTGTGCATGTCTGCTCTCCAGGTCACAGTGGCTGTTCTTGAGCAGATGTCGTTGTTTGATGTCCTTTGGGGTGGACACAGTAGTATGCTCTTGACACTTGGCTGTCGAGCTTTTGTCCAGCTTGCATTCTGCGGAACTGAGTGGGAACTGAGAAGCCTGGCAGCTTTGGGCTAGCCTGAGCTGTGCCACGGGCTTTTGCGTACAACTCTATGTGACCTTGGACCGAAAGCTGTAGTTTGGATGGTTAATGCAGCCCCTTGCTGCTTCCACAAGTCAGTGAGCATGTTGCACAGCATCTGGGTCGCGGTAGGTGCATGAGTGACGGTAACCCCATAGCTGTTCAGATGTGCAGTCTGCAACCCATATCTTACCAGTCCATACTGAAAAACCAGGTTGCCCTTTATGATAATAAAGGTTTCACAGAAACTCAGTTTGGGGGGCTGGCAAGTCATTTTAAGAATGATCTCTGTTTAACAACGTCTGGCTTTGCCCTCTTGTCTCTCTTCAGTTTGCGGGCCCGGCATTGACATCCGCAACGACTACCAGCAGCTGAAGCGCCTGGAAAACTGCACAGTGATCGAGGGTTTCCTGCACATCCTGCTCATCTCCAAGGCCGAGGACTACCGAAGCTACCGCTTCCCCAAGCTCACAGTCATCACCGAGTACTTGCTGCTGTTTCGAGTGGCCGGCCTTGAGAGCCTGGGAGACCTCTTCCCCAACCTCACGGTCATCCGTGGCTGGAAACTCTTCTACAACTACGCACTGGTCATCTTTGAGATGACCAATCTCAAGGATATTGGACTTTATAATCTGAGGAACATCACTCGGGGGGCCATCAGGATCGAGAAGAACGCCGACCTCTGTTACCTCTCCACCATAGACTGGTCTCTCATCTTGGATGCAGTGTCCAATAACTACATTGTGGGGAACAAGCCCCCAAAGGAGTGTGGGGACCTGTGTCCAGGGACCTTGGAGGAGAAGCCCGTGTGCGAGAAGACCACCATCAACAATGAGTACAACTACCGCTGCTGGACCACAAATCGCTGCCAGAAAAGTAAGGATGCGCAAACACGGGACTCTTCTTTCTGCTTCTGCTGGTTTCCTGCCCCTCCTCCCCGCTTCTTCTCTGTCAGGGCAGGCCGAGGTCCTCTCACATTTCCACACTGCCTTGTGGAAATGTTTCCCGAGGATGGGGAGGGTTAGCCTTGGCTAGCTTTCCTGTGTAGGTGGGAGTTCTGAGCGTACAGGACTGGAGCCTGGGTGGAGGCGACCATGGCTGCTGTCAAATCTGGTTAAAAACAATTCTCTGTATCTGGAGGCTAGAACTCTTCTAATCTTTAGCTTTTCTGATGAGAAGGACGACTTGGTATGTTTTGTTAGTCCCTGACTCTGGACAAACAGAAGCTTCTAACAGTTCAATTCTTGTGTCCTTTGTGTGAAGGGATATATAGTATCCGTCTTCATTATTTTTTGTAGAGCAAGAATTCCTCCTCAAGGATGAACTTGTAATATGGTTGAATAGAGGAAAAGCATAGCACCCCCCAGTGTCCTGTGAAAGTGACCCAGGACTCTCGGAACACTGATGTTTAGGAGACCTGGATTAGTATGGAACACTTGATAGAGAGGAGGCCTTTGTGCTCATTTCCAGGAGCCTCTGGTTCAATCCCTGCTCGAGACAGCTCTGTAGGAGGGTGTGTTTTTGAACCCTTGGGCTTTCATTTCCTTTCTTCTGTACCTGTTGTGAAAGTCTTATGCAATTACTTAGTGAAGGAAACTTGAAAAACATTCAGCAGTCCCGGAGTCACGTGGTGGTGCTTGAAGCTTGTTTGTCTGTGTACAGCACACATATTTTCTTTGTAGAATACCTGAACTCTTATCCTGATACCATAATAATCAAGTTGTTGTTTTGTTTGTTTGTTTTAGCTAGAATGTAGATGTGGCTCAGCACATTTGCTGTATTGCATTCAATAATTCAACAATATTTAGACATAGTGGCCAGCAAGGTTTCCCTTACTGGCTTCCCTCAGCGTGTTAGTTATTATTTAATGGCTGATCCACTTAAGATCTAAAGGGTCCATATACCCTAATGACGTATGAAGAGACTCCCTCAAAAAAGCCCCCACAAAACACCCAATTGATAGGCTTGTCTAATCTGTGAAGTGTGTATAATCAACAAATGCAAGGTCAGCCCTCCCAGGTAGCCCTGCTTTTATCAGCCCTTTAGTTGGGCCCAAAGTAGAAAGTCAGGCTCTGTTATATGTTCTGTTATTTGATCTGTGTGCGTGCGTGCGTGCCGGGGGTGGTGTGGGGTTGTGGGTTTATGGCATTGTAGGGTGAGATATGTGTATGTGGGGGTGTGTACGGGAGATATTGTAGGGGCCAGGACCCCACTGGCCAGAATCTTGAGCTGAATAGAAGATATTTTCCTAGTTGATTAAAACAATTTTCTGTCTTTGTCTTAACTATGGTTTGAAAAAAACAGTAACCTTTTTGGTTGTTTTTGAGATAGGGTCTCAGTCTGTAGTTGTGACTAGCCTAGAACCTGCTACTCTCAAGTTCATGGCAGCTCTCTTGCTGCAGCCTCCTAAGTCCTGGGATTACAGGAATTACCTTGCCCATTATAACAAATTTCTGTTTCTATTTCTTTATTTTTTAACTATTTAATGTGTGAGACTGTTCACGACAGGAGTGTGTTTGTGGTGCCCATGGCGGGACCAGATTTACAGCCAGGTGTGAGCTGCCGTATGAATGCTAGAAATGAAACCTGGGTTCTCTGAAAGAGCAGCCAGTGCTTACGAGTGGAGTCGTTTTTTCCAGCCCACCCCCCCCATTTTGTTTTTAAAGGAGCCTTGACATTTGAAATTTTTTATCTTTAAAAAGCATCATCAGAGATTTGGATTCAGAAATGAGAGTCCGGGGTGACTGGCCTGGCCAGATTGTCTGAGCTGTGGTTAGGCTGTTCCTAGAGCCATCACATTACCCTTTAATGGTGACCAAGCTAAGTATAGGCAAGCAAGCGTTTCGGAAGCTTAGAAGCTGTGCACAAAAGGGAAATGCTGTTTACAGCATCATTAGATAACACCTGCTCAGCCTCCACAGCTGCCTTTGTCTCTCCATGGCTTTTCAGCAGTTTCTGAAGAATTTCAGGGCAGAGATAAGACCCGTGTTCTGGGTCAAAGTCTAAGATCCATAGCCAGAAATCACAAGTCATTTAAATCGCATAGGCTGTAGTTTCTTCATCTTCAAAGGGGGTAGGAATCTTTTAGTCCAAGCACTCGGGAGGCAGAGAAGAGACAGTTGGATCTTTGTGAGTTTGAAGCCAGCCTGGTCTACAGAGTGAGTTCCAGGACAGGCTCCAAGACTATAGAGAAACCTTGTCTCGAAAAACCCAAAAAAGAAAGGAAGGAAGAAGGAAGGAAGAAGAAAGAAGAAAGAAGGGAAGGGAGGAAGGAAGGAAGGAAACAATGGAAAGCATCCAGGGTCAGAATTGAGCCCTAGTGCCAGAGTGCCCGTTGACTGATCTTCCCAAGACCGTGCGTGCTCTGCAGCTTTTTCCTTGGCCAGCTGTTAACCAGTTCTGGTGACGTGTTTTGTGATTTCACAATGTAGTGCTTGCTTAAGAATCTGAGTCCATTCAAGGATATTGTCTTTTTACCTTGCCCTGAAAACTCAGCCATGGTCACAAGTTCCTGTAGGTTCTCTAATTCGTACAGAATTATTTTCCCCTGCCTTGGTTCCTGTACAGTATGCCACGGTGTGTATAGTAGCCACTAGCCGCACGTGCCTGAACAGTATGGCCTGTTTCAAGGAAGACCTGACGCTGGTGTAAGACTTCCAGGATGTCGTATAAGAAAGATCCTTGAATGATTCCCTGCAGGATTTTTTTTAAAGTTAATTCTATGCTGAAATATACTGTGGTAGATAACACTTGAAAAAGTAAAATGTGCTATTAAAAAAATCAGTTCACATGCCTCCCTCTTCTTCGGGATGTGGCCACTAGAATGTTTGCAACACAGATGGCTGGCATTCTCTTTCCTCTGGGGAGTGCAGCTTCAGTGGCTTCCCTTGAGGCTAAGTTCTTCCCCTCAGCATCTCTGCACAACTGGCTTCAATCATACTGCCCATCCGGCCCATCTCCAGTCACATCCCTTGATCATCGTTCGAGCAGCCAGGGCAGGGGCTTTCAGTCCTCACAGAACACCCACCTGGAGTTCACATAAGCCATTTGAAACGAATGTGCGAAGAAGAATTCCGCTAAGCTGCTTCCTGCGGGCTGGTGGCAGAAGAGGGGAAACGTCAACATCTTGAGAGAAATACCAAGTGAAGTTGTTGCTGTGAAGGGGGAGCACTTGGTCATGCATTGCTGATGCACTCTTACTCGATGGTCTGCACCCTTCTTGGATCACGTCTGCTGGCCAATGGCGTGGAGGAGGAAGCCCACTAAAGAGGGGCCGCTCTATTGGTTGCATTCTCCGTATTTGTGATTTTATGCAGGCCCGAGTTGTTCCTCAATAGTGAGGGGCCCCTAAGGAATTGCGTGGGACCTTTTTGCTTTAGCATGGAAACAACCGGCATTTTTTTCATTTGTGATCATTGGGCCTCCCTTCCTTGTTTTGAAATGGCTTCTGCTTCTCCATCTTCCTCTGTAGCTGCTGTCTTGTTTCCTTTTCTCCATCTAGGCTTTAGCAGATGGTGGTTTCCAGTGGAACTTAGTCTCTTTGGGCTGCTGTAACAAAATTTCATAAGCTGAGTGGCTTGTAAACAATGGATCTGTTTCTCACAGTTCTGGAGGCTGGAGGTCTAAGAAAAGGTGCTGACAGGATCTGGCTGATGCGGGCCTACTTCCTGGGTTCACCTCATGTTTTCCTCCATGCTTCTACTAATAGAAGCTGCAGGGCAACTTTCTGGTGTCTCTTTCCCAAGGACACTGATCCCACTTAGGAGTGCTCTACCCTCTAATCACGTGACCTAATCACAGAGCCTCACCTCTTAATACCATGTTGTCAGATACCAGGGTTTGGCATGTGAGCTTTGGAAAACATAACCACTCAGACCTGCCTTGGTCTCAACCCCTTCTCCCACTTCACTGTATTAACTGGTCCTTTAGCATCCTCTTGTTATTATCTAACTGGCCAATTCCATCTCAAGTCCAGGCCTCTTTTTGAACTTTTTGTTTTTTTGGGTTTTGGTTTTTTATTTTTTTATTTTTTCAAGACAGGATTTCTTTATCTAGTGCTGGCTGGCTTAGTTTGGGTTCCTATTGCTGTGAAGACACACCATGACCACAGCAACTCTTACAAAGGAGAACATTTAATTGAGGTGGTGGCTTACAGTTTCAGAGGTTTAGTCCATTGTCATCACGGTGGGGAACATGGCGTCATGGAGGCAGACATGGTGCTGGTTACATCCTGATCAGAGGACAACAGGAAGTGGACTGTGACACTGGAAGTAGCTTGAGCATAAGAGACCTCAAAGCCCACACCACAGTGACACACTTCCTCTAATAAGGCCACACCTCCTAATAGTGCCACGCCCTTTGGGGGACATTGTCTTTCAAACCACCACACTGGCCATTCTGAAACTTGTTCTGTAGACCCGGCTGGCCCTGAACTCAGAGGTCCATCTGCCAGGCCTCCCTGGTGCTATAATTAAAGATGTGCACCACCACCAGGCTGCTGCTTCGTCGTCTTCTTTTTTTGTCTTATTTTTCTTTTTTAAGACAGGGTTTCTCTGTGTAACTTTGTAGACCGGGCTGGCCTCGAACTCACAGAGATCCGCCTGCTTCTGCCTCCCGAGTGCTGGGATTAACGGTGTGCACCACCATTGCCCGGCCCCACCAGGCTTCTTTTTTGAACCTTTTTTTTCTCCTTGCACGATCCATTTATTTCTTTACAGTGCTTTCTGGAAGGCCCCTTTCCCTTACAATAGCAAACACCAAACTCTTACAGCAGGATGAAATAGGCCAGAGAGGGAACACACTTTTTTCTCCTGAGTTAGCTTTTGGAAGGGAAAAGGTCGCTTTTGTCACTCTGCTGTCCTGAAGTTTAGAGTCTT